TGTGTGTGTGTGTGTGTGTGTGTGTGTGTGTGTGTGTGTGTGTGTGTGTGTGTGTGTGTGTGTGTGTGTGTGTGTGTGTATGTGTATGTGTGTGTGTTGTGTGTGATTGAATGGGGGTGGGGGGGCGACCATCCCCCACCAATCAATCAATCAATTAATCAAAAAAAAAAAAAAAAAATCGATGTGTTTTGAGTCTGGTTAGGTTTTTTATTTTTTAAAAATAACTTAAATGCTCAACAAACCAAAATAAAAATATGGGGACGTAGAGCGCAAAAACATCTATACCCCGATATATATATATTTTTTTCGGATTATTTTTTGCCTGCGAAGAAAACGTTTGAGGGCCTAGTTGTACCGCTTTCTAACGCGGTATAGCGTGGCGTTGTAACAGGGGTTCAACGGTCGTTGAACCTTTCAACGGGAAACCTGCATTGAATCGAAAATCAGCCACATAGGACTGATTGATTGATTGACCGATCAACTGATAGATTTACTGAATGATTGACTGACTGATTGACAGACTGATCGATAGACTGACTGATTGGTCGATTCACTGACTGACTTATTCATTTATCGACCGACTGATTGAATGATTAATTGATTGATAGATTGATTCATTGACTGATTGATTGATTGATTGATTGATTGACCCTGTTTGTTTAGAACCATTGACACACACACACACACACACCTAACCTGTGTTTTGGTACAGAGACTGATAAACTGATAGACTGATTGAGTTATTGATTGATTGGTTGACAGCCTGATTGATTGGTTGGTCGATTGATTGGTCGATTGATTGATTGATCGACGAACTAATTGATTGGTTGGTCGACTGATTGCTCGGTTGCAGATCAATTGATTGATTTATCGGCTGGGACTGTGGAGTGATTGAGTGACTGATTGGTTGATTGGGAAATGTGGATTGATCGATCGATTGATTGAACCATTGATTGATTTATAGGTTGATCAATCGGGACGCTGGCCCAATCGATCAATCAACCAGTGAATCATGTATGTCGATTGATTGCCTAATTGATTGATTGATAGATCGAATGAAAAATTGATTGTTTGATTGAATGAATAGGACAGTGAATGGGAACATGCACGCAACCAGTCAATCAAAACGTCAATTTCGTCAAAACGGACATATTGTATTTTTTGAACAAAATTGAAATTGAGTTCTTGAACCGAGATCTGATCAAAATTTTAAGCTTTCCTGGGGATACGACGTTTACCTCAGATGTATCCGACTTCAAGTTGAGACCAGATATAGGATTTCAATCCAAAAACTCAATTTCAATTTCGATCAAAAAATATAATATGTCCGTTTTGACGAAATGGCTGTTTCAATCAAACGACCAGAGACAGGGAGAAAGGCTGATTCGTTGATTGATTTATGGACGAATTGGGCCATTGGTTTGAAAAGCCCTCGTCAATCAACTAACCAATAAATAGGCCAATAAACATATCAATCAGTCTACGAATACAGATCGAATCGTTGATTGATTGATAAACAGATTGGGTCATTCGTTGATAAGGCGCCCCGAAACAATCAACCAACCAAGAAATCAATCAATCAATGAACGAATATATTTCGAATTGTTGATTAATTGATTGAGTGATTGGACCATTGGTTGGAAAGACGGCCCCCATCATTCAATCTACCAGTAAGTCAATCATTTAATGAACGAATGTACTTCAAATGCAAGGAGGAGGGCGCTGCTGAGGGCAGCGCCATAGCCCAGCCTCCATAGCTGGCGGGCTTGGATGCTATGTTGCACGCTGGACGCGGCCGAGTTCGGCCCAGGCCGCGGCCAGCGGCCTAGACCGGGACCCCCCCGGCCGCAGCCGGCCCGACCGATCTGGGGGGTGGTTTTCGGAGCGGGGTGCGGGTTTGGGGTGGGGGGGTGGGGGGGCACCCCCTCAAAGTGACAGGGCGTCAAAAAATAAATAAATGGGGGAGTCCTGCACAAGACCCTGGAAGGGTGGCCCGCGAAAAATCCAGCGGCCCCCATGTGCAGGTTTGTCGATGCGGGGTCGCAGGGAGGAGGGTCTGAAACAGTGGAAAAAAAAATAAAAAAAATTTAACCCCAGTGGGGACGGCCCAATGTGGGTTGGATGAGGGCCTGTATGGGGCGGGCCATGCGGCCAGGCCGGGTCGAAGCTAGACGGGGCTGCAGATGGTAGACCCCAAGCGGATCAGGGCCTCACGCACTGAAAGGAAGGCGTCGGTTTCATTACTGAGGGCGATGACATTTCGTCGGTTATTTTAAAACAACACATTCATGGCAATCATAAGTCAGACCCTGTTTGGCATACCAATGTCAAAACACATTGGAAATCAATCACAGTGCGGCGAACCACAAGTTTCAAACAATGATAACAGGCAAGTGTGTCATAGTGTGTGTTCACTCATGAGACTGATGGACATTCATTAGCACATCATTTATGTAAGAACACATTCATTAACACACCATCCCTATGTCGCATCTGAAATTAACGGCACATTCATAATGGAGGCATCCATGACATGCAGGTGCGTGGCATCGGAGAAGCACATAATTAGCAACATTCACGACAACAGAGCAGAAAACAATCACCAAACAACAACGACTCAGATGCAAGACCAATGTTGGCGGAGGAACAAGAACAAGAGCAAATATATGTCAAAGCATTTCAATGGAAATGCGTATGTACAAGGCTGAAGCCAAAAAATGGACCCGTAGTCTCTACTTTACAACCGAGCAGCAAAAAAAAATTGGATCCATCGTCTTTGCTACACAACAGAGTACCAAAAAAAAATTGGACCCGTCGACGGGCGTCGTCTCTACTGTACAACCGAGTAGCAAAAAAAAAAAAACCTAATGTCCACATACTATCGTCGTCTCCATGGAACAACATCGACATAAATATGCTACAACCCTGCCGACAGAGCGTCCAGGTTGTACAGCCACGTGAAAAAAAAAAAAAACTAATAAAAAAAAAATAAATACACCACGGACGTCGTCATCTCCCACCCGAGCGCGCGTGGCCTCTCCCGGAAGAGTGGCGGCCATGCGATCCTCCCCGGCGCCCTCCTCTCCCTCCGACACCTATGCCCTGTGCCCCACTGACGTATGGCGCCTGTGCTGCAGAGGCGACCGCGGCCACCTGTGCCCTGTGTCTGTGGGCCGCAGTCTCGATCGGCTCGGACTCAGTGTCTCCGTCCTCATCGTCCTCCGCCTGTGCAGCAATCCCCCTCTCTCTCTCCCTCTGAATCGCGTCCAATGCTGCCTGCCCAGCGGCGACCCCTGCAGCGAGTCGAGACTCAACCTCTGAGAGGCCATGCTGTCGTCTCATCCCGGGACGCATCAACAACCCCTCCTCGCCCGATGTGAACTGCTCTCCCCGCAGCCTGTCCGTGGATGTCCCTGGGGCCTCGAGGACCAATGTCCTCCTCGTCTCCGCTCGTGACAAACCAAGCATGCGGCCTGCCATTTGCAGGCTCGGACTTCCGGACCCGCCCTCCGCAGCCTGCGTCTGAACAGGCGCACGTCCCGTGAAGATGCCTCTCCCGGCGTCGTAATCCGCCCGCAACCGGTCCCCGACCCGACGAACAGTTGACCATCCGCCGCCCACACCTCCTCGGACTGGCGGCGGGGAACCGCCACTGTGCGCAACTCCGGGTGCCACCGTCTGGTCCCCGGTGTCGACCCTGCACTCCGGAGTCCGTGCGGGCGGTGGAGGCATCGATCTTGCACTATCTCTGCCGCCGTCGCTGCGTCTGCCGGACCCCACCTCACCCGCACCGGACTCCCTCCCTCTAACGTCGCTGAGCGACGAACCCGACCAGTGAGGGCTCTGCACTATATACCCTCCCAGGGGCCCGCTGCTTGCCGTTCTTGCGGCTCAGGTGTGCGAAAGGGTCATCTGTCAACGCATGAGCCAAAGCGTCGGCGTCGAAGAAAGTGTGCGCTGTGCCGTCAGGGCGCATGGGAGGCACTGTGGGGTCCCTCAACACCAAGGCGAGCCTATACGGATCGTCCTCCGGACCGTGGTCGTCGTCATCGTCGCCGTCCGGTCCATCGTCTCCACCGACAACCGCGGTATTCCCATCTCCACTGGGTCCACCCTCTCCTCTGCCGCACACTGCGGCACCCTGTCCCTCGTCCCCCGAGGTCTCGCTGTCGCCACGGCCCCCACTATGGGACCCACCGCCCATGACAACATCCTGCCCCTCAGGGACAGCCGCGGCGGCATCCTGCCCCTCATAAAAGAACTCCCCTGAACCGCCTCCTCATGGACACCCGAGTCGTCAACGTCACGGCTCCCCTCCCCTCCTGTCTCCAAGTCCCTCTGCCGACGCTGCTCGTCGAGATACGCGAACCGACCCTCCCACTGCGGCAAACTCGTTAGCCGCTTCTCCTCCTCTCGGTCCAAACGGGCATCCCTCTCCTCCTCAGTCTCAACAGGGCCCCGCTCAATGTCCGCGTCTGTGCGCACATCCTGCGGTGAGGCACGTCTACGTCCCTCGACACTAAAACCTCCCAAGCTCCCGCCAAGCCCTATGTCCTTGAAGTCCTGTGTGCGGAGCATCGACGGCGAGCAGGGGCGGATACCGGCGTCGGAAGGAGTCCTCTCCCCCCCACGATCCTCGCCGTCATGTGTCCGGTCTCTGCCTGCTGCCGACGCCAACCTCTCCGAACGCCTAAGTGGCTCCCCCTCGGGCTGTGCAAAGATCGGATGATGGGAGGGAGAGAAGCGACGATCGCGAAGGGGCACCTCCTCATCCGCGGCCTCCCCCTCCGCCTCGCTGTCGCTCCTAACCTCCTAACGCCTGCCTGCCTGCCGAAGACCTCCCCGTGGCTGCTGCTCCCCCGAGTCGTCCATGCGAACCTCCGCATGCGAACGTCCTCCATGACCACCGCTGGCTCTGCTGTTGCCACTCGCCAGCGCGGTCGACGGCACACCACCCGTGATAACTGATGTGAATGAATCTGTGTCGTCACGACCCCCACCGTAAGTGAAGTACACTCGCTCAGCCGCCGGGTCGCGACTCAGCGGCGTATCATCATCGTCAGTCCAGTCGTCATCGATGTCGTCGTCTTCCGCAGCAGCGTCCACATCATCCCCACCCTCCGGCCACGGTCGCAAATCCAGCGCTCTGCTGCCAAACACGTCCCGAACCGAACGGGCTCTGGACGGTCGGCTGTCACGGAAAGCGACAATCTGCCGCTGGATCTCCTGCTCGGGAACACTGCCATCAGGTCACGCTCCCCACACCTCGGGCTCCACATCTCCCTCCTCATCCTCCTCCTCTGCTGCCGTCCCTCCCCGACCACTCCCCATAACCCATGGCAACATGTAGCCACCACCCTGTCGTGCGCACGAGGCCAGTTTGAGATTGGTGGCAATCTCAACCAGCTGTGCAAGCTTGGCAAACCCAAGCTTGGAGCCCCTCGCCGTGCTGACGCGCTCGTGCTCCGCCCAGTTCCTCTCCGCTGGAGAGGCAGACGTCCACAAGTGCATGACACGGATGGCGATGGTGCGCAACTCCGGGTGAGCACGTCCATGCTTGAACCACCACGCTGCACATCGCTCGGTCTCTCTGTCCCCCCTGCAATCTGCCGCCTCGGCATCGGAGAGCTCACGATCTCCCCAATCCGCTCGCCTCGAGTGGAACGCCCTCATCGGGTCCCTCACGGTCCTGTACAATAAGCCGACCGGATCGCCGCCGGTCTGAGCCAGGAGAAATCCGTTGCACTCCTCGACCACAAGGCGGTCTTCGGCGGTTGTCTGCAGCGAATGGTAATACGTGAGGGAGCGTCGGCAAGGGTTGAGGAGGTGGGTCGCGGCATGTGTGGGCTCTAGCATGTGGAGGTTGCAGATGGCAACCTCACGCACGCACGGCTCAATCATGTCCGTCGGCATGTTGACCCTCCTCATCAATTGCAGCAGATGCTGACTCCACTCGTAAACGACGGACATCATCATCCCACCTCTATCCATCCTGCGCAAAAGCTGGTGGACGGGCGACATGACTAGCATGGCGTAATGGACACGCTGCCAAAACTCCCCGTCCCGAATCTGCTGCTGCACCCACTGCGCCTGAGATACGTGGGCGCGATCCCATGGGATGCGTGCCCAGGCATCCCCGTGCAACATGCTCTCAAACGCGTCTCGTCGGCCTTTGAGACACGTCAGCATCAGGAAAACCGATGCAAACCGTGTCTCAATGGGCTCGACGAGCTGAACGCGAGGGCTCACCTTCCCAAACAGGGCGTGAGCAGCACCGTGCAATTTAATAAATCCCACAAGCGCTCGAGCGCGGATGATGGTCTCCTTGACCCACACCGCTCGCGTCCCGATATCTGACAACATCAAGTTGCAGACATGGGTGGAGCAGGGGAGCCAAGTGATCCTCCTGATGTCAGGCTCGGGGTCTGTAGCGAACCTGCGCACTGCCACCGTATAGTTACAGGCGGAGTCTGTGCAGAAGCCGATCACGTCCTTTGCAGGAAAGGACAAGATGATGGCCTGCCACCTACGGCACACGACATCCACTGTGTCTCGGACCAACCCATCACTTGCGACGGTGGCGTACAGCAGGGCGCCATTGGCGCCCCCGGCCAGGAAGTTTACGAGCGGCTTGTCGTTGCGCGACTTCCTCCCGTCGAAAAGGATAGTAGCACCGCTGTGCCGGAAAGTGGCGCGCACCTCGCTCACCATCGTCGCCACCTTCGCCCTTTGCGAAGGGATACCGGCCCCCGCTGTAACCCTGAAGGAGGGAAACCGGAACTGGATAGAGCGAGGCACTCTCTCTGCTGCTTGCCGCACCCTCTAGAACTCCGGGCCACGGAAGGCGTTGAATGGCAACTTCTTTACGTAGATACACTGAAGCCACGCGTCATGGAACTCGGCCAACTTCTCCCTGGCGTACATCTCGACAATCGTGGTCTGCTGAGCCCTCTTCTCCCTGCCCGTGTCTGACACCTCTACGCCAGCCTGCCCCACTGTCCTCTTCTCCCTCCTCGCGCGCTCCACCTCACCTCGCGGCGCCCTAGTAGCAGGACCCGCTCCACCGACACCTCTCGACGTCATCACCACCTCCTCCCCTGGCAGATTAGGCTTTCCGACTGCCTCGTCTGCCTCGGGTGCAACCGCCCCCTCCCTAGCCCCACCCTCGCGGCCCTCCTCCTCATCGAGGGCGTCCTAAATGTCGTCTCTCTTTGCGTCGTCCATCCACTGTCTCTGGCCACCCGCGGGCGCTCTCGTGTCCCATATGCCCTCGTCTGCCATCCACCTCTGCACCCGCTGAGCAGTGGACGGCACAAATGTGTAGTCCGTGTCGTTCCAGAGTTCTGCGAGAACTCTCATCCCACCAGCCTTGCAGAACTTCGACTGGGTAAAATGACGCGCGGCCTTCGACGACCCCCCCTGAAACAGGTGGCCGCAGAAGTTGCAATGCAACTTTCGGTCCCCGTGCATCTTCGACTGGTCCCCGACGTACTGGGCCGCGGTGACGTAGTTCCAAACAATGTTCCCTCGCTTCAACTTCGCCATCTCCTTTTCGGAGAGGGGGTTGAATTGGGCACCCCCAGACCCCCCCGCACCGCTGCTCCCTGCACCCCCCGTCATTGCTCCCCCACCAGAATCCAACAAGTCGTGACCTCGATCTTCGATGTCGTCTGACCGTGCCGCACCGTCGATGTAGCGTCCCCTCGATGTCGCTGCACCCTGACGCCCCCGCTGCTCCTGCCGCCGTGTCCCCTCGATGTCGCGCCACGCTACGGTCCACCAGCACCCCGGCCGGCCGCCCGCAACCGGTCCTCCGAGGCGGGCAGCTCTGCCCGGCGCCGTCGGCCATGATCGGCCTCGATCGGCCGCGTTCGACCGTGTTCGGCCGTGTTCGGCCGCGGCCGGGCACTTAAAACGCCGCGTGCTTGAAAAAGACGCGCGCGGCGATGGCGATGGCCGTGCGGCGGCCGCAGGGCAGCGCGGGGCCGCTGTCCCGCGTGCTCGCACGGCGCGCGTCGAAGCAGGGTGCGCAGGAAGAAGAAGAAGAAGAAGAAGAAGAAGAAGAAGAAGAAGATCTCTCTCTCTCTCAGATTCTCTCTCTCTCTCTCTCTCTCTTTCTCTCTCTCTTTCTCTCTCACCCGCTCTCTCTCTCTCTCTCTCTCTCTCTCTCTCTCTCTCTCTCTCTCTC